TATGTATGTATGTATGTATGTTTTCTTAAGTTTTCGCGGGTACTTACATGTATGGTGTTCGGCTTGGTTCGGGTATTCTCCCACGTCATTGTAGTTCTTTTAAAGTTGTAGCAACGTTTCAGCAGAATCTCATCTGCCATCATCAGGCTTCTGTATTGTGTCCGTCTGTGGGTCAGACTTTTACAGTGGTTTCAGATTTAATTTTGGGGCAGCCTATTGCTGTGCCAGAATGGTTTTTTCTTCAACCTGATTGGTTGGGAGTCTTGGTCTGTGTTTATTGGTCTCGGAGTTTGCTGTGTTCTGCTTGATGGGTGTCTCTGATATCTTCTGTCTGTTTTTTGGCTCTTTTTGTATCTTGATTGGCTGGCAGCATTGTGTTACTTTAATGGAGGCCTTTAGTGCAGCTTGGCTTCGGGTAAATGGACGGCTATCATTAGTTAGGAAGCTGGGTTTCATCTGGGTGCCTGGTTGGGATGTGTTTGAGCTGGAGGTATCAGGGGGGATCTGTTTGTGCCCAGGTGTTTGCCTGGCTTGTGGTGTGGAGATTTTTTTGTTTGTGAGTGCAGGCTTCCAAATGATTGACAGCCTGGTGGAATCATCTCTTCTGTTCATGCTTTCTGGTCTTTTTTCAATATATATATATATATATATATATTGTTCGGGTACTCGTGAGGAAGTGTTTTTGAACACAGTAAAAAAGCTGCAGTAAAAAAGCTGGAACACACTTCCTCACTAGTCCAACACATGAAAGCAACAGGTCATAGCATCAACTTCAATGGCACCAAAACCCTAGCCACTATAGAAAACCCCAGCCACAGAATTATCTGAGAAGCCATAGAGATTGAAAAAAGACCTGAAAGAATGAATAGAAGAGATGACTCCACCAGACTGTCAATTATTTGGAAGCCTGCACTCACAAACAAAAAAATCTCCACACCACAAGCCAGGCAAACACCTGGGCACAAACAGATCCCCCCTGATACCTCCAGCTCAAACACACCCAGGCACCCAGATGAAACCTAGCTTCCTAATAAATGATAACCATCCATTTACTCGGAGCCAAGCCACACTAAAAGCCTCCAATACAGGAAACACAATGTTGCCAGCCAATCAAGACAAAAAAAGCCACAAAACAGACAGAAGATATTAGAAACGCCAATCAAGCAGAACACAGCAAATTCCAAGACCAATAAACACAGTCCAAGACTCCCAACCAATCAGGATGAAGAAAAAACCATTCTATACATTATATATTTAAGGCAGCCATGTCTCTATTTTTCACTTTTTGAAACTAACCTGCCCCTCCCTATGGCTGTCATAGCATCCCCATGGTCACATGATCAAAATCCAGATGCTTGGCAACTGGTTCCTATTTATGACAATTGAAGTGTCTCCTTCTGAGACTTTCTGATAAGTAAAGTCAATGGAGGAAGCCAGATTCCGTGAACAAATGTGACAAGAAAAACTGTAGAATGTGGCAAAACTCAATTAACAAATTTCTCATTTAACAACATAAATTTCAGATTCAATTGCGGTCATAAGTGGAGGACTGCCTGTGGTCTCTTTTGAGAACTTCTAGCAAAGGGTAGGTCATCATTTAATATGGTCCTTTGGCTGACATTTCATATAGTTAGATGTTTCTCCTGGTATCTAGCTTGAATAGGTTTCTTAGAACTTAGAATAACAGAGTTGGAAGGGACCTTGGAAGTCATCTAGTCCAACCCCCTGCTCGTGCAGGAGAGCCTATTCCAAATATTAGCCTGTACCTAGGATCGAACTCACAGCCTCCCGATTGTGAGGCGAGAGCTCCAACTCTAGGCCACCAGAGCTGGCATACCTTGCAGTTTTAATCTATTGGTTCTTGTCCTGCCCTCTGCAGCAATCAAGTAATGGTAGTTCAATACTCTGACAATGTCAGCAGAGGCTGACAAAAGCTTAGTAAGTATAATAAATATAATTTTAGTTCAGGAGATCGCAAAATATCTATTTCTTCTCTTACAAGGATACCTGGAACTCGTAATTTTAGAATAGTTTTCTGTCAAACTGAATATCTATCTATCTATCTATCTATCTATCTATCTATCTATCTATCTAT